ATTTTGATAGAGGCTCTTCTCAGCAATGCAAGGATCTAAGATAACTCCAAAAGACTCACAATGGAAAATGCTATCCACATCCAGAGAAAGTACCGTGAAGTATGAAGGCAGATGCTCTCCATTTCCTTTGTTGTTTTGTTTTATTGCTTCATTCTCATGATTCTTCCCATTAGTTCTAATTGTTCTTTACATCACGACTAATGGGAAAATATGCTTAATATGGATATATAAGTAGAGTCTATATCAAATTGCACACCATCTTGGGGAAGAGGGAGAGAAAATTTAAAACTCTAAATCTTATGGAAGTGAATGTTGAAAACTAAAAATAAATAAATAATTTTTTTTAAAAAAGCCATTAGATTTTACAAGTAAGAGATCACTTGTGACTTTGGACACAGACATTTGAGTCAAATAATAAGGTCAGAAGTCAAATTACAAAAGGTTTAGAATTAAGTGAGAGAAGTGGAGGCACAGATAGTAAATGGCTTTCTCAAGGAGTTTAGCCCAAAAAAGGGAAGAAAGATATTGGTTGGCTGTTAACGGAATGATAGAATTAAGTGACAGCTTTCTAAGGAGGAGGGAGGCCTAGGCATATCTATAAGCAGCAAGGAAGTAGTCAATAAGGACAGAAGATTGGCGGGGGGGGGGGGGGAGTGCAATCTACTAAAGAATAGGGGAAAGGATGGAAGGATTCATGTAGAAGAGTTTGCCTTGACAAGGAGAAGTCACCTCTCTCTTCATGAGAAACAGGGATGAAGGAAAAGCTAGTAAAGAAGACATCTGATGTAAGATGAGGTGGGGGAGTGGGGATAGAAGAACCGACTGTCATCAAGCAGCTTCAGTTTTTTCATTGAAGTGTGAGGTGAGGTCCTCAGATGAGAGGATAGGGGAAAAGGGACACATGGGAGGCTTGAGGAGTCATGAAAAGGCTTGGAATAGCTGTTAGCTATGCTGAGTAGGACAGTGAGACACTTACAGAGCAGTAAAAGAATTACTTGGCTGCAGTGAAGGTCCAGTTGAGACTATGTCACATAAATTTTTAGTGGACTCAGTCACAACATGGTTTTGGGATTTTCTCCAGCTCTGTTCAGCAGCACACAAATAAGAGTGAAGGCAGTGGATTATGGAAATAATCCAAGGCTGTGAATGAGCGATGATATGGTAAAGAACAAAAGAGCGGAAAAGTGGAAAAGAGTGCGAAGCTGAATTGCTTCACGAAGACATCAAGCTAAGGAAGGAAGGAACGCCTTAGGCATTGCAGGGATGATGGCCTGGGAAATAACCGAGTGGTGAAGAGACTGGAGGTAACAGTGAAAGTGAAGAACAGGGTTCAGAATCACAAGGCAGAAGGAAAGGTAGAACGGCAAAAGATTACGATCAGATAAATGAATTTCAGATTTCATGAATGCAGAAATGGAACACTTGTAGATGACAGCAAGATAAAATGTACGACCAACCCTGCGCATAACTGAAGCGGAGATGAGGATTAAGTCACGGGGAGATAAGAAAAATTGAAGAAGTGGGAAGTTAGGGCATCTGAAAACGAATCAATATATGAAGTCATACATGAATACGTGAATCAATATGAAGTCTCCTAGTATAACAGCAAGAGTTGGGATGGAGAGAAAGCCTCTGAGTCAGGCACTGAACTCATTGAGGAAGGAAGGAGGGTGTTCTCTGGGTGTAGGTACATAACAGCTACCAGACGCTTTATAATTACATATTGAATGAATGAACCTCAAAGAAGGAGAAACTACTGAGTAGCGATGACAAGAGGGAAAGCCTGGAAGTGGCAATGGGGAACAAGGAGTTTTCCAGCTCCCTCACCACAAAAACAGAGTCAAGGGGTAATCAAGACGAATCAATCAGTAAACATTTATTAAGTGCCTACTATGTGCCGGGCACTGTGCTAAGCACTGGGGAGAGAAAAAGAGGCAAATGAGTAAAAATGCAATCAGTACTAAGAAGGGTATCCAGGTCAGAAGATGAAGGGAGCGGGAAAGGAAAAGGTTGAAGATGAAAGCGAGTGTACTAACTATGAAACAAGCATTCCAGAAAACACAGCAAAAGGGATGGGCCGATCTGACATGGGACATGGCGGAAGAGGTTTATGGTTGAGGGAGATGAGAGTAAAGCAGTGGGAGATGGGGAAAGGAGTTTGTACGGTGACATGTGGGGGTTCAGAATCACTGGGGTGAGTAAGAATAGGACGGAGTGGGAGTGTGTTCACCACTGAGGAGTGAGTCCAAGCAAAGAATCCTGGCTGTCCCCATCCCTGGAAGTGACTTCCTCATCTGTCTCCCGGCTTCCTTTGAGTCAAAGCTAAAATCCCACCTTCTTTGCAAAGCCTTTCCCAGTCTTTCCTCTAAGATTATCTCCAATTTATCCTCTCTATATCTTGTTTGTACATAATTGTTTGCATATCATCTCCTCTATTAACCTGCCAGATCCTTGAGAATGGAGACTGGTTTTTGGTTTTGGTTTTTTGGTTTGGGGTTGTTTATTTTTTTGGGGGGGGGATCTTTTTTGGGTTGGTTGGTTTGTTTTGCCTTTCTTCTTAATCCCAGAATTTAGCATTGTTTTTAACACATAGTAGGTGCTTAATAAGTGTTTATTGAACTAGCTGTGTGACTCTAGGCAAGTCACTTAACCCCAATTGCCCCTCAAAAAAAAAGTGTTTATTGACTGATATTTTACAGATGGGGAAAATAAGGCACAGAGAGGTTAAGTGACTAGGATCACACCACTAATGTGTGAAGTACAATTAGGAAAACCTTGCAAGTCCAACACTCCATTTCTTCCCCCCTCTCCCCCCCACCCCGCCCTGCTTACAAGAGTTTTCTTCCTCCTTTCCTTTGCAGAGGAAGACTAGGTACAAGAGAAAAAAGTAAATCCCTTTCACTAATTTTTTTTCTTCTTTTTTCCCTTTAAAAAAAATTCTTTGTTATAAGGGATGGCTCTCTGGAATGGGAAGCAGAAGGGATCCAAGGTGGTATCAAAATGGAAGGTATCTATAAGCACTTATTAAAAAAGAAAAGTGAGAAACTTAAAAAAACACATAAAAATCTATTTTTAAAAACACGTAATTGCACACAACTCACCTCTTGCCCAAGAGGTAATGACTTACTGAGACTTCTATATTTGGATATGGCCAATATGGGAATTTGTCACATTTATTTTGAGTTTTTTCTTTTTCTTTTTTTTTATTGTTCAGTTGGGGGTGGGGAGAGTGAGAAAGGGAGGGAGAAATAATAAACATGTATAATTAAAGAAAAGAAGCCAAAATTTATAAGATTTTGCTTGTCCAGACTTGTCACATGATAATTCACACATAGTTATTATGAAAGTTTCCCAAATACGTCTAACAATTGTTAAAGTCCTGAAAATAAGCTATCAGGACCCGACTTAGTGACATTTAGTTTTAATATGGAAGAAAATGTCTAATAGGAGTATGGAGATCAATGATGTGTTGAGGTCTGAGAGGTTGTGACCCCTCAAAGACTAGAATATAGGATGGGGTCGTCTGGAATGAATTCACAGACTCAAGCATTCTTTAAGTCAAATTGGCAAAAAGTTTATTGTTACACTTTTCTGCGGGCAAGGATTCTTAAGGAACCTGCGACCTTAGAGGGGCACAGTTAAAGTTTATATAGGATAAAATATAATAAAACATGTGTCAAATATGCTAACTAGGTGATTCAGGGTGGGATCAGGGAGTGGTTAAGGAGCGGTCAGTTCTTAAAGGAACATGCACTTTTTGTATCTACTGCACAGGCGTTTTACCTAGAATTTACTAGGAAAAGCCCACAGGGAGGGCCACATGGTTTTAGGCCTGCTAAGTCACTAAGTTCATTAGAGTTCAGGAGTAACTGAGAGTTGTCCAGTCCAGCACCAGTCAATGTCTTGTTTGACAAGATAGATGTAGGGAGTATACACATGCCTTAGGTCTAGGATACAGATGATGAGTCCAGGATGCAGATAATGAGGAAGGGCAGTAGTATAGGTAGTGCAGTGGGTAAGAATATCTTTATGACCCAGTGCAAAGCCATTTAAAACTAATAATTCCTTCAGGTGCTCTCACCAGGGAGAGAGATAAGGGTCTTGCTGGGGCCCACTCATGAGTAATTGCTAAGCACAGTGTGCTTGGGCTGGGGAGAAACTGCCAGGGACAGTGTTTCTGAGGCTAGGGAGAAATTGGGGTCTAAGCACAAGCACCCAAGCACCCCATCAGATGTCCTGAGAATAGAGGGCAACATACAATTTTAAATTTTTTTTAATTATAAAATAGAAAATTATCATCAAACAAACATTTCCAATATACAGAGGTCAGAAAAAGAGGATTCTACACGACACTGTGAACTTATTACACATGACTTTTTACAAAATGTATATTAAATGTAGTGTGGTCATACAAAAAAATATGTAATTGGTGAGAAACTAAAAAGTGTATCAAAAGTCTATTTTTTAAAATAGTTGGTGAACATGGAACTGGAGAAAAATAAAATACTAAAATAAGTTCTTAAAAAATAGTCGGTGAGAAACTTTAAAAATATCAAAAATCGATTTTTAAAATGGTTGGTAAGAAATTTTTAAAAATCAAAAAATATATTTTAAAAAATAAATAAATGGCAGGAAACTTTAAAATTTTTAAATCTATTTTAAAAATAAATGGTGAGAAACTAAAATATATATATATATCAAAATTTTATTTTTTAAAATGGTGAGAAACCAAAAAATATCTAAAATCTGTCTTAAATAGATGGTGAGAAATTTTAAAAAGCTAGTTTTAAAAAGGAATAACTGAGTGAGAAACTTTTTAAAATAAATCAACAAGATCTTGGTTTTTTCTTTCAGGACCCCGGGTACCCGGTAGGCGCTTAATAGTTGCTCGGGCTCCGCCCCCTCGCGGCCTCGCCCGCGCACTGCTCGGGCCGGTGGGCGGTCCCCTGGGGCACAAGGCCTGGCCGGCTGGAAGAGCCCTGAAGCCGGGCTGTCCTAGCTCCTCCCAAGCAGCAGAGGGCTCCGGGCTGCCGGCTCCGTAACGGGAGGGCGGGGACGGAGCTGGAAGCCGTACTAGTGGCTGGAGCCGGCGAAGGGGCGGGAGTCGGGTCCGGTCCGGGAGCACGAAAGCAGGACAGGAGTCATGCAGGTAAGGTGGGAGCCTCCAGCTCCGTGCTGCGCTCCCCGGCAGGCGCCTGAGAGGCCCACCCCACCCCACCCCACCCTAGCCGTGGGACTGCAGGCAAAAGTGAAACAGAAAACGCCAGACCTGAGATGAGGAAGGGGGTCCTGACCTTGCCGCGCCGGGAGGGGGAGGGGTTGTGCAGGGGTAGCCTCGCCTTTCCTGCATGCTTGGAAGGGCCCTCCTCCTGGGATCTGAGAGAATGAGCTGGGGGGGGGGAGAGGGAGGGTCTCAGGCCCGAGGGACGGGGGGGGGGGGGGGGGGAGAGTCGTCTCAGAATGTGGAGGCGGGGCGAGTCTTATCCCAGAGAATCCAGAGTTGGAGGAGCCTCTGGGCTTGGAGCCAGGGCTGGGTGCTGGGGACGGGGGCGCTGGAGAGGGCGGGCCGGCAGGGCAAGGAGAAAGACTTTGAGTTAAGGGCCAGGGAAGTTTTTCCCGACTGAGAACCAGTCTGAAAAGTGTCTCAGCCGGGAGGAAAAGAGGTTGAAAAGTCAGTCTCAGGTCTTGGAAGTCAGTGGGGGGGGGGGGGAGCCTGGGGATACAGGATGGGAGGAGTTGCCACCCTGGAGGCTAAAAGTATGGAGGCCAGAAAAGGAATCATCTTAGCAGGTCTCCAAAGAGGGGGGAAACAAGGCACAGTTGTGGCAGAGGGTCCTGGGGGTGGGAGGGGGGATGCAATCCGAATCTCTGCCTTCCCAGACTTCAGTAACGTCTCTAGCCAGAAAGGAGGCCGTTCAGGCTGCAGCCAGAGAGCTGCTCAAGTTCGTGAACCGAGGACCCTCTCCCTTTCACGGTAAGTGGCCAGGCCCTTTGGAGAAGAGAGAAGGCTGAGCCCCATTCTGGAGTCCCCACCCTCTCCCACTCCCCAGTCCTCTGTGATGGAGGTCACCTTCCCCCCCTACAGTGGTGGCAGAATGTCGAAGCCGACTCCTCCAGGCCGGCTTCCAAGAGCTCAAAGAGACTGAGAAATGGGAGCTGCAGCCTGAATGCAAGGTATGGAAGGCTGGGGCAGGGACATCCATGTGAGGTCAGAATCTGGAGGATGGAGCCAGATGTTTCCCCAAGCAGTCACATTGAGGACTCCTCCCCCTTCTTTCCTCAGTACTTTGTGACCAGGAACTCCTCCACCATCATCGCATTTGCAGTGGGGGGCCAGTATTCTCCAGGCAATGGCTTTAGCCTCATCGGGGCCCACACGGACAGCCCTTCCCTGCGGGTATGGAAATCTGGGGGACCCTACTCATGGGCCCCAGCTCAGGGTCCTGAGATGGGATAGGAGGACCGGTGGACAGACCCCCAAGGGCGAGAAGAGGGGGAGGGAGAGAGGAGGACCAGGAGTTGAGGTTGAAGACCCTGGGGGAGGGGGTTTGTTTCCTACACGCTATAATAATACTTCATCCTACTTTATAAAACATACGTGATTTTTTCCTGTGTATGTTCAGTCTCCCCAAGCAGACTATAATCCCCTTGAGGCAGATGCAGGGTCCTACAGCTTTTTATCACCTGATACTATATGTCTTATCACAGGTGAAGCGCAGGTCCCGACGGAATCATGCAGGCTTCCTGCAGGTTGGTGTAGAAACTTACGGGGGCGGCATCTGGAGCTCCTGGTTTGACCGTGACCTCACGTTGGCTGGACGAGTCATTATCAAGGTAGGGACTGGAGCTGGGGTACTTGGAGTTAGGCAGGAATCAATCCTTTTATGCCCACAGCATCCCCTTTAGAGAGCTGCTCAGGAAAAGGTAGGTTGGGACCCCCAGGGTCAGGGGATTCGGGGGGGGGGCAATGGGGTTAAGTGACTTGCCCAAGGTCACACAGCTAGTATGTGTCAAGCGTTTGGTCTGAGGGCAGATTTGAACTCAGGTCCTCCTGACTTCAGGGCTGCTGCTCTATCCACTGCACCACCTAGCTGCCCCAGGCCAGGGGATTCTAAAGAGGGGTTTGGGGCCTCTGCCAATCAGAAGATTGGAAGCTTAAGTTGACCTGTTGAGGGCTTGTGAGGCCACACACAAAAGAAGGGCGTGGGGTCTGGCTTGACACATTTCCTGGCTGGTTACAGAATCCTACCTCAGACCAAATTGAACAGCGGCTGGTGCACTTGGAGAAGCCGATACTGCGCATCCCACACTTGGCGATTCATCTTCATCGGACCGTCAATGAGAGCTTTGGTCCCAACGCTGAGACCCACTTGTGAGAAAAGGGCTTAGGGATGGGGGAGAGCGGGTGGGGGGGGAGGACATTACAGGTGCGACCCCCTGGGGGATGTGGATCAGGATGAGGCCAGCTGGGTGAGGGGGGGCAGGGATGCTGGTGGTGGTTCCTCACCTTTAGGAATATGAGGGGTCCACATAATGGTCGTGTGTTTTGATTGAGAAAACCCATGATGACAGAAAGCTACTGTGAATTCAATAATGCTTTAAGTGAACTATGTTACTAATCACTACGATTAGGGAGAATATATATCTGTGTGGAGATGTTATTTATTCTACACAAAGTGAGGGTCCTCTTACCCCCAGGTTGGGAATCACTGTACTAAAGCTTGAGGATAAGAGAGATTAGATGGATGAAAGATGAAGGGCTATTTAGGGACCAGATGGGCATTTGTAATAGGAGGCATGGGCTGGGTTAGCATACATCCAGACCTTTAGATTTAGAGGTGTTTCCCCTGCCCCACTCTCCCTCATTCTGCTGTCCCCATAGGGAACTGTTTCCCACATCAACCTCTCCCCCACCTCCTTGCAGAATACCCATTCTGGCCACAGCAGTCCAGGAAGAGCTGGAGAAGGGGATGCCTGATTCAGGGGCTCCTACTAACCAGGTGAGGAAGAGGACTAGCATCTAGGATGGCAAGAAGGGAAGGAATAGGAGGATGTGGGGGCTAGGGGTAGGAAAGCGCACATAGAAGTCTTGGAATAAAGTGTCCCCAAGTGACCACTCTCCAACTCGTACCTCTCCCTGTAGATGGACCGACACCAGTCAGTGCTTATGTCTCTTCTGTCTGCCCAGTTGGGGCAGAGCCCTGAGGACATCCTGGAGATGGAATTGTGTCTCGCAGACACTCAGCCTGCGGTGAGGAGAGAGTAGACCCCCCTCAGCCTCAGCCAGTGCCCTGGGCTCAGCCCTACATGTTGGAAATAGATACCAAACCCTGGGAGCTCAGAGGCTAAGTGCAGAACAAAGAACAGGAGGGGTTTTTCCTGTTAAGGATCAGTGGAAGCTTGGGACTGTGGGGAGGAGGGAGGAGGGCTGGCCCAGGCTAACCATCCCATCTCTCCAGGTCCTGGGAGGTGCCTTTGAGGAGTTCATCTTTGCTCCCCGGCTGGACAACCTGCACAGCTGCTTCTGTGCCCTCCAGGTGTGGAGCCAGGGGCTCGGCCGACCTATGTGCCTACTCCATCCCCATAGCACAAAGCCTTGGACGTGTGGGGGGAGTCACTAGTGCAAACATACAGCGGTTGAGGAAGGCCAGCATTTCTGTCTCAGACCCTTGAGGGGATGTGGGAGGGAGACAGGGGGCTGCCACCAACAGTATCGTCCACCCTTTCCTAGTAGCACCTCCTACAGTGATGCTGAGGAAGGGTAGGTTGGAGCGTGTGGGAGAGAGCTGGCCTGCCTCAGCAGCCCCAGTTGTTATAGCCATGGTGACTGCGGGTGGGGAAGCAAGGGAGAGAGCCACCTTGGCCCCCAGAAGTAGCCTTTCCTTTAAAAATACAACACAGCGCTCGGCAACGTACTAGCCACTTAAAAAATGCTTGTGGGGGCAGCTAGGTGGCACAGTGGATAGAGCACCAGCCCTGGAGTCAAGGGGACCTGAGTTCAAATCCAGCCTCAGACACTTGACGCTTCCTAGCTGTGTGACCCTGGGCAAGTCACTTAAGCCCATTGCCTAGCAAAATAAAAAATGCTTGTGACCGACTGATTCTGTCTCCACTCGCAGGCTCTGATTGACTCCTGTTCAGCCCCAGCATCCCTTGCCTCCGACCCTAACGTTCGAATGGTTGCACTGTATGACCATGAAGAGGTGAGACCTGGGGCCTGGTGGGAAAGGGAGGGGAGGGGAGGATAGGGTGCTGGTGTCTGCCCATACCTGTTAACATTTTCTAAGCATTTATTCTATGTAAGGACCTGTGGAAGGGGCTGGAGATGGTAAGAGGAAGGCCACATTCTTTGCTCTGCGTAGAACATTTTTCTCCCCCATCTCTCTCTCTCTCTCTCTCTCTCTCTCTCTCTCTCTCTCTCTCTCTCTCTCTCTCTCTCTCTCTCTCTCTCTCTCTCTCTCTCTCTCTTTCTCATTTTGCTCTGGGGAAGGCAATGCTACTTAGTGGATAGAAGGCCAGCCTAGAAGCCAGGAAGACCTGAATTCAGGTCTTGCCCATGACACATTGCATCTTGGTTAGACTTTTTAAGCCAAGCTACAAGCGAGGTGCTGATCTGGAGGGAATCTCCCTGCACTGGTGAAATCCAAGACACAGATCCCCAAAATAAATACAGAGTTTTCCTTGGGTCGTGTACACTTCTTTTCCCTACTATCGTCTTTTACCTTGTTTTTTCTTTCTCTTTTTCCATCTCCATCCATCCCAGCCACTCCTAGACTAGATTATCAGCTCCTTGTGGGAAATGGCTAGATCTCTGAGCTCTTTGGTTTCCCCCCTTGTGCCTAGGACAGTGCCTTGCACATAGTTTCCATCTGGATAGTTTCTGAATGTATGACAGACTTGGTTCCAATCCTCAGATCACTCGTGACTGTAGCCTGGGGCCACAGCAGAGGCAGACTCCTCCCTCCCTCAGCAGCAGTCAGCCTTGATGGGGCCTCTGATCAGAGCCCTGGGATTGTCCCTGGGATAACAAAGGAGTCTGAGATGAAGGCCAGCCTCTGAAAGGTTTACATGTCAGTTGGGGGAGAGAGTTTGGGTGTAGTAAAAAGAATGCTAGGTGTAGAGTCAGAAGACCTGGGTTCTAATGCTGCCTCAGACAGTAGGAAGCAGCATGACCCAAAAGTCTTAGTGAAAAAGTACACCAAGACTTTTGGGATATCCTGTATAAATAGGACCAGGAGAGATGAAACAGTTATAGTTGATAAAGTATTTTTCATACTTTACAAGTATCTTGTTTGATCCTCACAATTCGGTGGCAGATAATGCAGTGGATAGAACAGCGGGTCTAAGGTCAGGAAGACCTGAGTTCAAATGTGGTCTCAGAGGCTTACTAACTGTTTGACCCTCAGCGAGTCACTTAACCCCTGTCTGCCTCAGTTTCCTCATGTATAAAATGGGGATAGTAATATTACCTGTCCCTCCCCCAGCAAGTAATTTAACCTCTCTCTGCCTCAGTTTTCTCATATGTAAAATGCTAGCACCCTCTCCCTCCCTCCAGTTAATTTAACCTCTGTCTGCTCTTGTTGGTAAAATGGTGATGATAATAGCACCTACCACACCCCCTCCAGAGTTGTTGTAAGGACCTGGCATATAGGAGATGCTTAACAAATGTCTGTTACCTTTTTATAAGATGAGTAATGCAGGTTATTATCTCTCCTGTATAGATGAGTGAACTGAGGTGGAAGAGTTCACTCAACCAATAAGCATTTATCAGGCATTTGTTATATGTCAGACACGACGCTAACAAGTGCCAGTGTGAGTCAGTCTCTGTGTTCAAGGAGATTGCACCGTACTGAGAGAATGTGGCAGGATATAAGTAAATAGCAGACTGATGGCCGTCTTGGGGAAGGGGAAGCAAAGGGTGAGAGGGAGAAAAATTTGGAACTCAGAATCTTTCAAAAAATGAATGTTGAAAATTGTCTTTATGTGTAATTGGAAAAAATAAAATACTATTAAATAAAAAAAAAACAAGTAAATAGTGAGTTGGGGAGAGGCTGTCAACTTGGGGAATCAGGAAAGGCCTCTTGGTGCTTGAGCTAAGCCTTAGGCTAGAAGTTTTAAGAGGTGAAGTGGGAGGTGAGAAAGGGAAGGCGTTCCAGGCATGAGGGTAAGCTTGTACAAAAGTTTGGAGTTGGGAGATGGGGAGCCCCGTGAGTTTCTTAGGTCGGAAAGTCAAGTGGTGGGATCCACGCGTCAGGGATATTCATAGAGGCTGGGGGGGCAAGGGCGATGAGAAGACCCTTGCAGGAGGCCAGGCAAGAGCTGATTTTTTGAGGGCCTACAGAAGGGTGACTGCGGTGTGAGTGGAGAGAATGGGATGGACTTGAGAGACGCTGACAAGGAAGGGCCCATAAGCGTTAGGGACCGATTGGACATGAGGGCAGGGATGTCTCCAGGGTTTCAAATCTGAGGGACTGGAGGAATTTCAACAGAAATTGGGAAGTTAGAGCAGAGGAGAGTTTGGGGAGAAAATACTGAGTTCTGTTTTGGATCTGTCGAGCTGGAGATGCCTATGCAACGTCTAGGTTGGAGGGGTCCATCGCCCAGTTAGAGATACAGGACTGAAGCTCAGAAGAGAGGTGAGGGCTCCAAATGTAGATCTAGGAGTCATCCACTTAGAGTGAAATCCATGGGAGAATCGATGAGAGGCTCAAGACAAAGCCATGGGATTATAGACTGAGGACCAGAAGAGGCTATAGTGTCCAACTCCTTCATTTTACAGGTGAAGAAACTGAGGCACACTGGAGCAGCTAGGTTGGTGCAGTGGATAGAGCACTTTCCGTGAAGTCAGGAGGACCTGAGTTCAGATCCGGCCTCAGACCAAACACTTGACACTTACTAGCTGTGTGACCCTGGGCAAGTCACTTAACCCTAATTGCCTAAAAAAAAAAAAAGAAACTGAGGCACAAAGAGGTTGAGTTACTTGCCTAGGGTCACTAGTAGGTTTCTGAGGCAGGATTCAAAATCAAGTGCTGGGGTCCATCTAGCACATGTCGGCGCCTCACCCTGGTTTGCAGACAGGAACAGAGGATGGAGCATGGTTGAGGATCCTGCAGAGGGAGCTGAGAAGGAGAAGTCAGACAAGTAGGAAGAGGCCCACAAGCAAGCAGTGCCGTGAAAACCGAAGGAAGGAGAGAGCATCTCAGAGAGGGTGGTCAGCGCTGTCAGAAGTGAAGAGAGGTCAAGAAAGAAGAAGAGTGAGAGGATTTAGCAACAAAGAGACTCTGGGTGACTGGAGAGAGTCAGAGGGTGGGCACGGAAGCCAGACTGCAGAGGGGAGGAAGTGGGAGAAGGGTGTAGACACCTCAGAAATAGACAGCTTTTTTTTTTCTAGGAGTTTGGCTGTGAAAAGGAGTAAGTAACCAATATTTGATGACATTTTGAGGGCACCACAGTATCAAGTGAAGGTTTCAGGGAGGGGGGAGATCTGAGTATTTTTTTAGGCATCAAGGGAAGGCCCTCTTGGAGAAGAAGAGATTGAAAATTAGGAAGCAGGAAAAAAAATTTAAAAAGAAAAGAAAATTACGAAGCAGGAAGGGATGATCAAAGAATCAAGTTGCTGGAGAAGAAGAGGGGCCCAAGGGGAGGGTCTGGTGTTGGCAAAGAGAAGGGCTGCCTCTTCTGGGATTGGAACCTAGCTCTTCTGACTCCCAGTCTCATGTCCTTTCCACTACACCACAACTCTCTCCCCTGCCGGGATTGTAAACCCTTCAGAAGCTAGACCTGTGTGTTTAAACTCCTTTGTATCCTAGGGCCAGTTACAGCCAGTTACCGTGGCCCAGTAAATGTCGACTGCTAGGAGGGAGGGAGCATTCTATCTGTAATGATGGCACTGAGGGACACGTTGTAAGCCCTTTGAGAGCCGAGCAGTGTTTCATTCAGCAAATGTGTATTGAATGAGCATTAACATGCACAGCAGTATTCTAAGGAGCAAGGTGGAGGTGGCGGTGGAAATTTAATTATTTTTAGTAATTATAATATTTTTTAAACTGCTACCAACAAGGATAACAGTAGGCAAATGCCAGTAAACAGTGTAAACAAAAAATGCCATCTCTAGCTTGGAAATGACTAGGAATTACTCTGCTTTCCAGTTTTCATGAAGATGGGGATGAAACCATTCCCTAGGGTGGGAAGATTAAGCAAATGGACTTCTCCTCCCCACCCCCCCAGACTGCTGCTCAGGGCTGGGGGTAGGGGACATGGGGGAGGATCTGGTCTTTTGATCTGTCTGCCTCAGGGGCCCCCAGCTGAGCCCCCACCACCCCCCTAGGTTGGATCGCAGAGTGCACAGGGAGCAGAGTCGTTGCTGACAGAGCTGGTCCTCCGGCGTATCTCAGCCTCAGCCCAGAATATGACAGCCTTTGAGGAGGCAATACCTAAATCCTACATGATCAGTGCTGACATGGCCCACGCTGTACACCCTAACTACCTGTGAGTCCCCAGGGGCCTCTGCATCACCAGTGTTGAGGGTGTTGCTTTGGGCCCTGCTTTCTCTGGGTGTCTGGGACTGGCTGATGGTGGTCTCAGCTTATGGGTGTTCTTGGGTGCTCTTGCTGGTGGGAAAGCATCTAGCCCAGGGGTGGGGAATCTGCAGCCTCAAGGCCCTTGGACTGAACCCAAGCTTCACAGAACAAATCCTCTTATTAAAGGATAAAATAATAGGGATAATGTAGTAGCCCCATTTCTCTACCTTCTTTTGATGCTCTGAGGTCAGGACTGCTAGGATTTCCTAATAGCAAACCTAAGCTCAAGGTTGGGGAACATTTAATCTCTCTTCTAGGGATAAACATGAAGAAAACCACCGACCCTTTTTCCACAAGGTAACCACCCTTCCTCCCCAATCCCGGCTCAGCCAGGCCCTATCCTTCACCTCACTTCCTACCCAACCTCCCCTCCCCTGCTAGACCTTGTCTCTCTCCCCCTAACCACCGATCCTCATTTTTTCCTCCAAAAGTCTCTTTCCCCTTCTTACAGGCCCTGTCTTTGTCCCTCCCAGCTCTGTAGGCCTCCTCTTTCCCCACTGAGGCCCTATGTACGCCCTTCCCCATATCTCCTGCTTTGCCCTTTGCATTGGACCTCGCTTCTCTTCAACCTATATCTTTCCCTTCTTCACTCCACCTCAGGCCATATCTCCCACCCAGATCCTATCTTCTTCCTCCAACTTCCCCACCAGCCCCAACTTTCCCTCTAGGAACACTTAGCAGTGGTGATGAAGACTGATTGATTAGGGCTCTGTGTCTGCTTCTTTTCTCCTCCACCCCCTCTCGCCCTCACCAGGGCCCTGTGATCAAGGTGAACAGTAAACAACGCTATGCGTCCAATGCTGTGTCCGAGGCACTGATCCGAGAGGTGGCAACCCGCGTTGGGGTGCCACTTCAGGTGAGCATTTTGGCAGGAAGGGGTGGCCCTGTTGAAGACAAGACATAGGGAACAGCAGAGTCACAGTGGGTAACATCCCAGTAGAGAGCCCTATGTGGAAAATTACTGGTCTCCCCCTTGATCACACAGGGACAGCCGCAGCACATGTACCAATCCTTAGTGACGCATAGTGTTCCAGTTACTGCACTTATCTTAGGGTTAACAGATATCATTAGATGTTCTCTAGGCCCTTTGTGTCTGGAGGTTATGACGGCAAAGCCAAGATTCCTATGGAGATCAGAGATTTGAGTCACTCCAGAGTCCACATGTGCCGTGCTTCCTTCTCTGTCCGTGACTCAGAGGTCTTAAGTCACTGATAGACCTCCCATCTCGGCCTGCTTCCTGTATGCGTACTCTTATAGACACTCCTTCCCATCTCTGCAGGAGTTCATGGTTCGGAATGATTCCCCCTGTGGCTCGACCATCGGGCCCATCCTCGCTTCTCGTCTGGGGCTGCGGGTGCTTGATTTGGGCAGCCCCCAGCTGGCCATGCACTCCATCCGTGAGATGGCATGTACCTCCAGTGTGTTGCAGACCCTCACTCTCTTTAAGGTAATCCTTCATCTGCCCTCCCTTATCCACTTCACCATGGCAGCTGTGTTTCCAGTCCCTAGGATTGGTTGCTGGGGCAACGTCATCCCACTACGTGACGAGGCTGATCACCATGGTGATGCCATGGATGCATACAGCAGACCAGCTCAGCCCCAGCCTGAGGGACCCAGGCCAAGCCCCAGTCTTCTCAGGGGAATCAAGGGAGAGAAAGTGGGGGATATAAGAGGGAGGATTTATAGGGAGGTTATCACACCATACTCTAACACCTAGCTATGTCACTGCACTTTGTCCCAATCCAGGGCTTCTTCGAGCTGTTTCCTGTTGTGAGCCGCAATTTTGCAGTCAATTGAGGCCTCTCAAGAGCTTCTCTTCCCTTCCTTATCTCATTAAGTCGTAGAATGTCAGTTCTCACCTGACTCAGACTTGAAATATTAAAATAAATTTTTCATTTGTTCTTGCCCTGCTGGGTTTTTTGAGGGAGGGGGGCACTGGAAGGTTGAGTCCCTGGGATGAGAAGACCAGGGCAGGAGCCAAAAGGAAGGTGCATTGAGGAAAGGGGGCTCTCATCCCTTCTCTTTACCCCAGAAGTGAGCTGGCAGGAGGGATGAGATGGTAAGGACTGATTACATGTGAGGTTATTGTCCTGCTCCAAATCCACGTCTTAACTCTTTCCCCAGGAGTGGGGCCAAGATGCTGCTTTCATACCACAGCCTTCTCTCTCCTTCCTCCTTCCATCCAAGGAGCTGAGGCTGCAGGGACATTGCTGTACCCTCCCAGCATGAGTGCCGCTCTGCAGAGTAATCAAAGGAGCTAGTCTGGAGGGTGCATTAAAGGGCAGCAGAAAGAAGAAGCCCACCCTGGAGCAGTCCCCCTGGAATCCCGATTACTCCTATGACTTCAGCATTATCAATGCGTTAACAAACTTTCTAATTCTGATTAACTAACAAATACTAACTCATTATCAGTGAGAATTTTCCAAGGATGCTTTGGCTTATTAGCCAGGATCTTCATGCTCGCTTATGAAAGCAGGAAGGGAAAAAAGTGAGAAAGCATCTTTCCCCAGCGTCACATAATTGAAATATCAACGTTTACATAGCACTTGTGATATCTTGCAAAGAACCTGATCAAATTGGTTCTTGGTATATTTTTATGACAATTCTGTGAGGTAGATAAGGCTGTTATTATTAGTATTCCCACTTTACAAGCAGAGACATTGAAAAACAAGCTAAATGACTTGTCCAGTGCAATGTAGCAAATCAGGGATGGAGCTCTCAGGATTCTAGCATGTAGGTATTCTGACTGAATCCAGTGCCTTCTTTACTGTGCAGTCCTGCATTCTAGGGTACAGCAATGCACAGAACAGTACCAGTCATCATGCTTGCTTGTATTTACTTCTAATTAGGAAGGGGTTAACTCTTAGCTCTCCCTCAACTCAAATCCCCACCCTTTCTAGTGCCACTCTCTGTGATCTCGTCTCATTTTGTTGGAAGAAAGCACTATGAAGGGAACAAAGGTGAGAAAGACATGGTCCCTACTAGTATTGGAAGGCAGTATGTGATCATGTCTTAAGAGCAGTTCAAAGGGAAGAGCTGGAGCCCTACTTCTGGCTGGGATGGATTCACGGAAGAGGCAAGATCTGAGCTGGGTTTTGAAGGATGACTGGGTCCAACAGGCTGGAACATGGAGCTGAATCTACCATGCTGGAATTTCATAGGAGTTAGTGCAAGTTGAAATGGAGAGAAGATTGGCCTCAGACTTCTGATTCATGGGCTGTGTGACCATGGATAAGTCATCCCTGTGGTGTTCCCAAGGCACTTCTTTATAAGTTATAGATAAGAAACTTCGGAGGGAGTTTCCTCTTTAGAGAACTGAACAAATCACGAGTAGAGGCTCCTCCCGCCGCCAATGCACAAACGCAATGTAATCTTTCACTTTTTTTCTCAATGGATTTTACCACTACAAAATGGAGGAAGCATACTTAGCATTTTGTCTAAAAAAGATCCTGGGGCATTTAGTGGACTGCAAGTTCACTGAGTCAACAGTGATGGGGGCTGCCAAGAAAGCTAATACAGCCTTGATTTGCATTGAGAGGCACAGCTTCCAGAAATAAGGAGACACGAGCCAGTATACTGCACCATGGTCAGGCCACATTTGGAATGTTGTGTTGATTTTGGAGCACCACAATCTAGAAAGGATATTGATTAGCTGGAAAGCATCGAAGATGGTGAAGAGCCTTGGGTCCATGTCAACCAAAGATGGGTGGAAGGAACTGGGGCTGTTTGGTGTGAAGAAAAGAAGACTGGTGGGACGTAATAGCTGTCTTCAAGTACAATATTCAAAAGACAATCAGTTGGAAGAGGGGTTAAGCTTGTTTTGTTTGATCCCAGAAAGCAGAATTAGGCGTAATAAGTGGAAGTATCGAAGAGGTCAATTTAGACTTGATATCTAGAAAAGTGTCCTAACAATCAGGTCTATCCCTATATGGAATACGCTGCCTCAAGAGGATATGAGTTTACCTTTCTTGGAGGCTTTCAGGCAAAGACTGGATGACCACATGTCTGTTATGTTGTATTGGGGATTCCTTTTCAGGTACACATTGGGCCAAAAGACTGTTGAGGTCTCTTCCCCCTAGGAAATTCTATGGACAGGGATAAGGAGGGTTGGGGGAATGAAATGGATAAAGTCTTGAAGCCAGACAAACCTAAAACCTTCCCAGGTGATTGTAAGTAGTGTGCCTTGTCTATAATATAGAACAAGGGTAGGAATAGTTTGTAAGCTCTTCCAAGCTCCAGCACTCTGCACACAGTAGGTGTTTAGAGTAAATGTTTATTGAATTAAATAGACTTAACTGGCAGGCAGTGGGTAGCCATTAGAGGTCTTAAAGCGAGGGAGATGTGTGTATGATGTGATCAGAGCCGCAGTTTAGGAAAATTAGTCTGGTAGTGGTATGAAGAATGGCTTGAAAGTGAGAGATTTGATGTGGAGACCTATGGACCAGTTGACTGTACCTGAATATTTATGGAGAACCATAAGGTTTGAAAAATGCCTTAGGGAGTTAGTACAATTTTATCTCCATTTTAAAGATGAAACAAGCTCAGAGAGATTAAGTGATTTGCCTGCCTACTAAGTGTCAGAGGCAGGACTATCTGGCCAGAGATTTCTTCTGGCTACAAGTTCTGTAATCTGCCTTTTCAAGTTGGGGTGGTGGTGGGGGATGGGGGGAAGGGGCAGAGGTGAGAAACATTGCAAAGAAGGAAATAGACAGGATTGGGTTGCTGAGTAGTTGTTGAGGGAGAGAGGAATCCAAGATGACAAAGTTTTGAGGCCAGGTGACTGGAAGAATTTTAGTGGCATTAAATATCAGAAATTAAAGTACTGGCCCTGGATTCAGGAGGACCTGAGTTCAAATCCGGCCTCAGACACATACTTATTAGCTGTGTGACTCTGAGCAAGTCACTTAACCCCATTGCCTAGCCAAAAAAAAAAAAATCAGAAATTAAGAAGGCAGAAGGAGAAGCTGATTTCAGAGTGAGAGATGATGGGTTTGGTTTTAGATATGCTGAGGTTAAGTCAGAGCTGTTGTTCCTTTGCCCCTGAATGCTTCTGATTTTTCATCCTTAGAGTCAAGTATGTGACTGGGATAACCCCTGGGTTAAACTCCTTTTTTGTACCCTTTCTCATCACAACTCCCAAATTCCCCATAAAGAGGAAGTATTCATCCAAAAGAATTAACAAAGGTGCTCTGTCCAGCACTTCTTAAACTGTGGGTTTAAGCATTATTGAGGTTGTCTTGAGTGGAAAAAATTTAAGAAGCTCCAAATAGCACCTCTATCATTCCCTTGGAATGATGGACCCTGGAATTACCTGTTCAGCCTTGATGGCAAAGGCAAGTTAGTTTATCCTGGTTGGGTGGAAAGAATCCTGCATCTGAGTTTATCTACATCTTATTGCTAACACTTTATAGCACTGTTACTTAACCTTAGCTGAACCAGCTTCCTTGCCTGTAAAATGAGGATGATGCGTGTAGTACTTGCTCCACAAATTTGGGAGAATCAAAACACTTTGCAAACCTGAAGATACTTCAGAAATAAATTGTCAGCTACTATTGTTATTAGCTCATCAATAATTGAGAGGCACACCAATTTGGGCAACTTAACCTCCTAGGGCATCCGCTTCCTCTGTAAGAATGAGTATAAGGATAGTAGGGGGGAAAGCATTTGTATAGTGCTTGCTATCAGCCAGGCCCGTGCTAAGTGCATTTACAAATATCACCTCATTTGATTCTCACAACAACCCTTGCAAAGTGGGTGCTATTATCATCCCCGTTTTACAATTGAGAAAACTGAGGTTGTGACTTGCCCAAGGTCACACAGCTAGTAAACTCCAAGACCAGAAATCCATCTACTGCACTATCCGCTGCTTCTGTCTAAAGACTTTAAAAACTTATTGGTAGCAGCTGAATTGAATGAATCTGGCGTGGAGGAGAGCTGAGCTCATTTCCAAGGCAGTTGACTTGATAGCATTGTAATTAGGAGCACAGCCAGAGTTGCCTTGTCCAAGCATCCAGTGTGGTTAGGTCAAAGTTCATTAAGTCTTTCCTCAGGGTCTATTTAGAGGGATTCTTTGACTCCTTGAACAGTTGCTTGAGCTTGAATGGGGAGTAGCATCTTTACTTTCCAGACCGAATCGATGTTCGCTTCCTCATTTCTCCCGGTTTAACTGTGACCTATTTCACTGTCAGGACTCCTGGGTGCCCTATAGGATAGCCTAAAGAAATTGCCTTCTTTTCCCTTCCAGACTGCAGGTATTAAAGGGAGATCTTTATGGAGACGTAGCTAGAAAGGAAATGTGAATGATGCAGAAAGCTAATTCATCCTAATTCTGTCTCACCTTGCCCCGTGTAACCTCGTCTTCCCATAGTTAGGGGTAGAGTCTGATGCAGAGGCGAAACAGATGGCAGTTAGGGGTGTGGCTTCTATAAAGGGGTGGACGTTAAAAGGAGGGGTCTTCATGATGCAGACCCCCTTGAGGTCAGGGGTATGACGACATTTATGACGCAAAAGCCAGTCTGAGAAAATAAGGGATGGAGAGGTGGGAGAGTCGTCTCTGGGACTGCCCATGATTGGACAAGCAACACCGTGAGGGGCGTGTGAAACCCACCTCTGAAGTGGGTGGGGTGTGCCGTGGCCCCGCCCGAGCCCCCCTTGCGTCCGGCTCCCGCCAGTGTCGCTGCGGTTCTGCCGGGGGAACCTGCGCGCGCCTAGAGGAGGAGGATGCGGTGGCTCCCGGGGTTCTGGGGGTTCCGACTGCTTTTCTGCCTCTTGCTGTTGACCGCTCACCTTGCGGGCAGCAGCGCCACCAGCGCCCACGGTCAGGAGGAAGCCTAAGGGTTGGGGAAATGGGAAGGGGACGAATCCCAGGATAAGGGATATAGGGGTACAGAGTCCAGAGAGAAGGGGACAAGGACTCAGAAAGGAACTGGGTGGGGAGGGGGGGGTTGAAAGGAACAGGGGGAGGAAGCAAGGGGGCGTAGTCCTGGGGGTGGGGCCCGGGATACGGAGGCGGGACCTTGGGCGAAGTGGGCTCAGGAGGTGATGGGGCCTTCGCTTTAGAGAAGTGGCGGGGGGAGGTGGGGGGGGGAGACGGGCTTCAGATTTCAAGGGTTTAAGACCGAAGCAAATGCAAGGGCCACAGCGAGCCTGGAAAGAAGTCGGAACAGGAAAGTGGGGAGAGGAAAAGAGCGTCTCTGGGGGATCGCTAAAGGTTCCAGATATGACTTTGGGCATCCCAGGCTGGAGGAGCCTGGGAAGCCGGCTAGAGGGGTTCGGGGCTCTGAAAGAGAAGCTTGAGTTGAAAGAGGGACTAAGGTTTCCCAGGGAGGCCGGGTCAGACCTGTTCAGGGCCCCCAGCGCTAAAAGGAAGATGGGGGCATAGGGGCAGGAGAAGATAGAGGGAGGAGGGGGTCTTTTCCCTCTTTCCCCCCTTCCCCCCATCCCCCGGGCCCGACGCTGACTCACGGCTGAACGGCCGGAGACAGAGTCAGTCGCTGACTCACGAACTGGGAGCGGGGGTGGGAGGGGGGGTGAATGGGGGGGGCGCGTGGGTAAGGGGAGTGAGCAGGCTGACTCCTAGTCTGACACCCCCCTTTCCAGGCCGGTCCTTGTCTTTGAGGACCGAGGGGAGAGCACCGGTGGCCGTGTGGGTTCTGATGGTGGGGATGGTAACAGGCCTCACGCAAAAGCCTCGCCCATTCCCCTCCCCACCTCCCATCACCGCCCTGAGCAGCCGGATTCCAAACCCTCGGCCCCACCCGGTCCTGAACGTCAGCACCCTGGACAGTGGCAGAGTGTTCTGGGAGGGTTGTCGACTCCGGCAGCCCTGAGCACTGCTTCGTTTTTCCATCAGCCCCACAATTCCTGCTTCCCAACCCTCAGAAGCCCCTCCTGTCCCCAAGTCCTTTTCCCCATAGGAGGGTACTGGTCTCCGCCCCTTCCACATTCCCACCCTCATTGTTCACCGTGTGAGTGGGAGGCCCTCCCCACTACCAAGCCCACAATGCCAGAGGCCTTACATCCCAGAAGGACCCTACAAAGTAGCTGAGCTAGTCTTCTTGTCCCACTAACCCCCTAGTCATGATAACATCCCCCATCATTGTAAATGTCTTGCAGGTCTCCTGAATGTTGTGCCCATAGGAGGAGCTGTGGAATACTGAATGTGTGTAAACAGTTTCAGTGTACATATGGGAAAACTGAGGCTTTCAGGAATCATGTTACCAAGATCCTGATCAACCCTCTGTTTAGGTCCTAATGCTTTCTTTCCCCAAGGATTCCAGACCTCCTCCTGCATCATTTCTCTTATCATATATGAAACCTTCCCTAGGATGGATCCAAATGACCTTCCCCATCCCTCCCCCTTTTCCATCTGTATGACTATCTGATTTGCTTGGCTGGCAAATTGATGAACTCATCTGTCCATCCACAGGCTGCCTGTTTGACCGTAGGCTCTGCTCTCATCAGGAGGTCTGTATCCAGGGTGAGTGGAGAAAGGAAAGTTAGCCACGTGGCAATGAGAGCTGTGGATGGGAAGAAGGGAAGGAGTGGGAGGAGGGAACACTTGATTTTATCAAGAGCTGAGGGGCAGGAGTCCCATCTCACCTGGTCTTCTGGGAGCATGATTTTCATGTCCCCTCAGGAGTCAAGAGGAGGTGGTCCTGGGGCTATGGAATATATGAAATGTGGTAGCTGGCCATGTGTCCTAGAAATATCACTCGTTGTACCCCTAGATGGTTTGTTTGGACAGTGCCAGACAGGTGCAGGGAGAGTACGGCCCCTGCTGCAGGTCACCTCACCCATCCTCCAGCGATTGCAAAATGTGCTTCGGCAACTCATGTCCCAAGGTAAGTGAGGTATAAAGAGGTTGGAGGGAGAGGTGCAGGAGTCTGTTAAGGGTGAAAGAAATGAGAGTTGAAGCTCTTCCTAGAGAAAGAGGTGCCTCTTCCCTGTCCTAATCTACCCAAAACATTTCTACCACTCTTACATCTATAATCACCCATTCTTTCACCTACTTAGTGAAGCCACATCAGCATTTGGGGAATTGCCTTTTAATGGACACTAGAGGATTCCAAAAGAACCATTTAGACCAGTACAGAGGCCACTAGGGCCAACATACAATGCTCTTGACCAGCCCCACATTTTAGTTCTGCCTGAGCATCAGGATCAGGGACCTAAGAATTATTTTACTGGAAGAACTTTTTTTAAAAAATGAATTGTAAGGTCAGGGCAGACTACACAGGGAGGAGAAGAAAGAGAGAGATGGAGCATATATGATTCCTTATATGCTGGCTTATCTGGGAGCTAAAACTAAAAAGCTCTTACTTATCAAAGGAGGGACAGAAATGGGAGCTGCCTCAGGATCATCAAAGATGGTTTTAGAGGAGTCCAGTGTGGTGGTACTGTGATCCCTGCTGAAAGGTAGGCTGAGGCTAGTGAATCTCTTGAACTCAGAAATCCTGCCCAGAGTAGAGCTGTTAAGTCTGGCACCAATATGGTGGGTCCCCAGGAGAGGAGACCCATGAGTAGATACCAACCTGAATGAGATAAGAAGATCCAGTCTGAGAAACAAAACAACAGAAAGATAATTTAGAAGGAGGTATTCAAAGATAGATAAAAATGTACCCATCATGCCTGGCCCTGAATCCTACATACTGGGAATCATTTTTAGTCTCATTCTGGTTCTCTGGATGAACTAGCCTGTCCCAAAGTACCATCCTCTTTGGGTTCCTCCATCCCTTCAGGCCTATCCTGGCAGGATGACATCACTCAGTATGTGATATCCCAAGAGATGGAGAGGATCCCCCGACTCCGGGCACCAGACCCTGGCTCCAAGGACAGGTGGGACCTGGGGACATGTGGGAGGAGAGCATGCACCACCCCCAGCATAGGCTGATGGATTTTGTAGCCCAGCTGAAAGGGTTTTGTGCTGAAAAAAGGAGAGAGTAGAGGATCTGAGAAAGGTACAGGGGAGAAGGAGAGGGGCTGAAGATCTGTAGACAGGCATTGTGGGGCTGAGTCAAGGTTGTGGCATGGTTTTGCTAATCTCAGCCAGCCTGCCAACACTCCAGGAGTTGACTATTGGTAAGAAAGTAATTAACTGCCCTTCTGCTCACCCCTCATTTCACATGCATATATGACATTCCTGGGCCATGAACGGATGGGCCATATGGACGACAGTTTCCTGGTGCTCAGTCTCTTCTCTACTGAGGAAGGGAGGGACGTAAACAGGGGGACAAAGAACATTGAAATACATATAGTCGATGGTGGTATGGTGGATAGTGAGCACCTGGGTGACCTAGAGCTTTGGAACCCAGCATACAATCCTGCTGCCATGACTGGGAAGGAGAGATTTGCCCTCCCTTCCCCACATCCTCACACTGTTTGTTCCTAGCAGCTGCTTTGTGGGGCCAGGAAGACCAGGTCAAGGGAGGAGTTAGCCCAGCTTTGCTCCCTTCTTGTAGTGGAAGTCCCATCTACTCAAGGCCCAGTCTCTTCCTTCAGCTAGCTATAGGGCCTCATGCACCACTGCTCTTCCTGCCCCACCTGCTACCTGTCTGTCCTTCCCCACCACACACATTGCTTTCCTCCCCAGGTCCAGCCTGGCATCCAGGAGACCTGCTCTCCCTGGGGAGTTGCTTCCACCTGGCTCCGCCACGGGCTCCACCCCTGCAGCCCAACAGCGACTTCAGAGGCCTCTGCTGGGTGGGGGTGGGGGTGGGGCTCTGCTGCCTTCCCTCCCAGCTGAACTGCTGCCTCCACTCCTGGAGCATCTGCTGCTCCCCCCACAGCCCCCACTCCCAGCCCTGAGCTATGAGCCCACACTGCTGCAGCCCTACCTCTTCCACCAGGTGAGACCTAAGGCTGTGGCCACCCCTACTCCCACCACACCCCCAACTTTCTTCTGACATAAACTCTGCTTTCCCACACAGTTTGCCTCCCAGGAAAGTTCCCGGGCCCTGGACAGCTCCCCAGGGTTGGTCACAGTCGTCCCTCAGCCAAAGGCCGAGGCCCCAGCCCTCTTCAGCAGAGCTGCTTCTAAGAATGCGTTTGGTGCCCATCCCAGCCTTTCCTACAGGAACCCTCCAGGACCCGTACCTGCTCAGCTGTTCCAGGACCCTGGACTCCTCTACCTGGCCCAGGAGCCCCCTGCCTCAGTCAGGGTCAAGGGTCAAAGGCTACATGAACAGGGAAGCAACAGCCAGGGAGGAGAGTCTCCAAAGACCTATGGGGAGGAAGGGATAGGGGGCACTGGGGAGCGGGAACCAGAGCCTCCTGCTTTAGCATCCCTATCACCAGGCCCCCAACCAGGTAACTGAGTCTTCTACCTGCTCATCATTCCATTCTCCCTTTCCATCTTTCTTCTTTTTCTTCCATCCATCTATCTTTCCCTTCTTTCAGCCAGTTGTCCCTGTCTTATGGGGAGCTCAGCCTGTCCAGGACTGTGGCCCCTTAGATGAGATCCAGAATGTCTCTAACCCTTTTCACATGAGTAGTTTTCTCAGAACACTTGGAAAAGGGCTGGGGAGTGAATTGGCTTCCTCAGTATATCAGTAGAAGCTATTCAAATCGCTAGGTCCTCCTCTTCCACTCCTGTGCATCCCTTGTACCCCTGGCACCACATCCCTTCCCCCTCCTACTCCTATCCCCAGCTCTAAGCCCTCTCTCTCTCTCTCTCTCTCTCTGACTCCCTGACAGATGTGGTTCTGCAGAGACTCACAGCAGTGCTGGCTAACTATGGGGTAGAGTTAAAGCAGCTGAGTCGGGAGCAACTCACCAGCCTCTACACTCTGATGCAGCTGCTGCCCAAGGGGGTTGGGAAGAGCCGGGGTGAGTGTCCAGGTGGAGAGATCCAAGACCCCTGGGAAAGTCAGCTTTAAGGAGATGATCATTGTTCCATGGCTATTATGCATAACCAGGAATTAGGAAGGAAATAAGGAGAAGAGAAGGAGGGTATATCGCATGGAAAGGGGCAAGGCCAGGGTGAGAAAAGGCAAGATAGGAGCAGAAAGAACAGAAGGGTAGTAATAGTTTAATAGAAAAGGAGAGCCAAGGACAAAAAGGAAGAAGTGGAGGATGATGATAGGAAGGAGCTGGTGACCGACGGCAGGGCAACAATCCAGAAGCCTAGTGGGATTCATGGGACCCTAATCAATGACAGGAATATGGCAATAGGATAGAAACCTTAATCTGAAGTTCCCTCTCTTCTGTCCTGGGTTCTCTTCACCTTGGCCTCATGAGCCTTTTCTATCCTTCCCACAGGTGAAACTGGAAATACTGATGCTGAGACTAAGAAAGTAAGATAGAGCCCAAACTCTGCTGAATTTACCCTAACACCAACGCCCTCCCCTTCTCATAGAACCATGGAATGGTATAACTGGGAAGGAATTTTAGTAATTGCTTCTAATCCAACATCCCTTATGTACAGATGGGGAAAATGCTATATAGAAAGATGGTCACACAGCTAATCAGAGGCAGAGCCAAGATAAGAACCTACTTCCAACTACCAGTCCCGGATCTTTCCATCATTTCATGTTGCTTTGTCACACCACCCCATTCCAGCCTCATTGGTTGAGGTGCCCTATGACAGGACTCTCAGAGCCCCAGACACAAGCATGTTAGAGTTCCCTTTGCAGTGCTTCTACTAACCTGGGCCAATCCCTCAAGTCTTTCTTTTCCTCTTTTGGACAGGTAATGGAAGGAGACATGCAGCACACAGTAGATAGAGTAGAATCTCCTTCTGCCATGGCCTCCTTGCCTGAACTCTCTGTTGGTAGCACCACCCCAATTCATGCCCAGGGGGCCGAAATGGAAGGCCCCACAGAGCCACCACCTTCCCTTGTTATGCCTGTCCTGATGGAGAAGAAGAGTCCACTGAGTCAGAAAGGACTCTCTGGGGGAGATCAGCCCCCAGCTCCCTCTACAGAGGAGTATGGCTACATAGTCACTGACCAGAAGTAAGAATTCTTGGGAAGGGAAGACCATGGGAATCCAGAGGCAGGCAAAGGGGCTAGAGGAAGTGAGACACATAGACTACCTGCCTTGCATAAAACAAAGGCAATACATCACTGTAGGTAGAAAAAGAATATTAGAACTGAAGGAAGATGGTTATTGGTGGGAGAGGAAGGTGGTGGTGGAGGCAAGGAGGCTGGTTACTAGGCTCTCAATGCTATGGAATGAATGTTCTCCCAAGATGATGTAACTGAGAAGACCTCCCTCCCATTTCCTCTGCCCACTCTAACCCCAGGCCCCTAGGACTGACTGCTGGTGTCAGACTCTTGGAGATCTTGGCAGAACACATCCACATGTCTTCTGGGAATTTCATCAATATCAGGTGGCGCTGATGCCCTGAACTTTTGGGTGAAGGAATTAGGTAGAGGGGGAGGGAAGGTATATGAAGAGCAAGGTAAGAAGCACAGAGTCCACTTCTTCCTTGAGATGTTAGGGAGAGGATGGGTTTGGGGAACAGCAGCCACCAAAGTGGCTCCTTGTTCTCAGCCCTGCCATCGGTCACCAGTTCCTTCCCATCATCATCCTCTTCTTTCTCCTTCCTTTTTGTCCTTGGCTCTCCTGCTTTTCAAACTATTACCACCTTCTGTTCCTTCTGCTCCTATCTTGCCTTTCTTACCCTGGCCCTGCCCCTTTCCATGAGATATGCTTTCTTTCTCTTCTCTGAGATGGAGCCACATCTGGGCTTGATGGCACATTTCCTAGGGGTATGTGCCCATCATCTAATCTAGAACTGGCCTCAGATCTTTCATTGCTTCCCCTAGAGAGTTTAACCTATCCCTTCCTTAGTCCTACCAAATATAGCTTTACCATCAGTGACTGAGCCTTGGGGATTGAGACCATGACTTGACTCCTGCCTTTCAGTGTGGTGGGATCAGCCCTCACCTTCAGAATCCGGAACAATGAACAGAACATGTCTTTGGCTGACGTGACGCAGCAAGCTGGTAAATGCCACCCCCAGCCCCATCTTGACCCCTTGACTTACGTCTGTTCATCCTGATTAACTCAGTTTACCTACGGGGCATGGAATGGTGTAAGAATTCTTGTGGGCTGAAAAAAGGCCTAAGATGTCTCCTTCTTGCAGGACTGGTGAAGTCAGAGCTGGAAGCAGAGACAGGGTTCCGAATTGTGCAGACAGGTGTGGGCCAGGTATGCAAGAAAGTCTTTCTCTTTAACCTGGGGCTGATGCTAGTGCCAGGGTCTCTGGGGGATACAGGAAGGAATGTTAGTGGTACACAGGGGAAACCAAGGTACAACTTAGAGAATTGAGTTAGGGTCAAAGGACTGAAACCTGGAAGGGACCTCAGAAGGGTCCAGTGTCAGGCAGTTAACAAACATTTACTGAGCATCATGATAGGTGCTAAAGTATACAAAGAATAAAAGGTCTCCGCTGTCCAGCTTACATTCTGACTGGACAAATATAACATGTACACAAATTTTATACACACACACACACACATATAGTATACTAGTAATAAATTCAAATTTGAAGAGGGGGGTGCCTTAGGAAGAATCAAGGAAGAGATAAACAGAAGAGATAAATCTCAGCTGAATCTTGAAGATAAGAAAGTAGAGAGCTGTGTGATTTCGGAGTCTGAGCATTCTCTTGGACTCAGGCACCGCATCTATAAGTGAGGAGTTTGGGCTTCATGTCTTCTATGGTCCCTTCCAGTTTTGATATCCTTTAGTACTGTGGAGATGGTGATAGCCGGTGTGTCCCAGGGCCAGAGAGACTACCTTTACATGCCGTTCTCTCTACTACCAGCAGGGGATGCTGCTGGATTTACCAAATGAGAGCATCCTCTGGCTTTCTATGAGAAAAGTTTGAGATTAAGATAGGGGAAGGCAAAAGAGGGCAAATTTTGGGTCAGGTTAAGATAGGGTTTTGGTTTTGTTTTTTTTTAACAAGTTCTTTTATAACTACCTGAACTAAAATGAAAATACCCAGAAAGAATGGGCTGGGAAGGTTGCCTCCTCCTAAAAGCAAGATCTGCCTTAATTTCTACCTACTGTTTCATTCCTTTGGGTTAAGTATCGCCTTCTCCCCTCTTCTAAGATGTAGATAATCTTGGAAACAGCAATAGATGCTGTTTTTGTATATTCATGTGACTGAGTTGATCATATTAGTGATGGAGATATGCCATGGCAGGAAGGTAATTAGGCCCTGGAATCTGAATGAAGGCTTTGACACGTACTGATTGGCTGGCCTTGGGCAAACTGCTTAACCTCTTTTAATCTCATTTTCCTCCTATGTAAAATGAGAGGATTGGATTAGATTAGAGGTTTTTAACCTTTTCTGGGTCATGGGCCTCTCCCTTGGGGAGTCTAGTCAAGCTTATGGACCCCTTCTTAGAATAATGTTCTTAAACATACAAAATAAAAATATGTAAGATTACAAAGGGACACCAACTGTATTAAAATACAATTTACAAACTATTAAAAAAAAAAACAAGTTAATGAGCATCAGGCTAATAACCCTTGAATTAGATGATGTCTGAGATGTCTTTCAGCTCTAAATTCTGTGATGTTCTATGAAGGAGGGAGGGGAGATGGTATAGTTAGTTAGGAGAAA